AGTATTACACCAAAACAAAGCATGAAAATAAAATATTTTATTGTCAGATACACTCAAAATTAAGAGAGAAAACTATTTTGATAATTCACAGTTAGATAGGGGACAAAAATAAACGAAAGAGGTTGCAAATATCTTGAGTCAGCAAGTAGGAACAGGAATGTAACTTGAAGGAAGGAAAACCGGAGAAATGCAGTAGTGTTATATGTTGCTTATTCAGAAACTTTACTGCATATAAAATTACTGCTCTGAGAGCAGTTACCTACATAAAAATTTACTTTGTTTCATTACAGTGTCCTGTGACAAGCCATGCTATGTGGCTCTTCTGTAGACAGATTTCCTCTGACACAGCGATTTTCGGATCATGGAAACTTAGCTGGCCAAATATGAGCCAAAAATTGCCTTGAGAAACCGCTACTGAACGTGAACAAGTCAGACTTTAGCGTGCATACTATTACGCTGGTTTTCTTTGTAGGGTTTTTGAGGAATCAAAGTGTGAAAACCCCTAGAAACATCTCAACAAACGGCCTTTCCTGAACAGACCTTTCCTAACATTACAGATTAGAAAAGGGGAAATATCACACACACACACACTCCACCTCTAGCCCCAAGCCCAGCTTTGCCTTGCAACAGATAGTGACTTCTGTAGTTAACAGCAGTCTCCGAGCCCATTCAATCTTGTACATTTTAACGGTGACTTTTTAAAGCCTATAATTTTGTAAGATTTTCACTTCTGAAAAGAAATTTGACATGGGTTTTTGCTGATCAAAAAAAATTTGTTTTCTCTGAAGCACAAGTGGGACTAAACCACTCATTTTTTATGAAAAGGTTAACAGAAATTCATACATCTTCACACCTGCTTCTGAGAGATCTGATCTGTGAATGTACCACTGCCCCCTTTTCCCCTTCGTTAAACTTCTGTATGCCATTTCAGCACAAGTACTTGCAATTGTAATGTGCAAGGTGTCTGTATATCTCATATTCTAGAGTGAACACCGGAAAATGTCATTAAGAATAAAATATTCATTTTAAAGGAAGCAGTAAGTTTAAATTTCAAATACATTACATTTTTTTTCCTGCTATGCCTGCCTTTACAAATGCTCCCAATCCTTTAAAAATGTTTGCTTAAATATATACAGTACATATAAAGGGAATAAACTACTTGCTATGATATTTGTCCTTTAGCAGGATCCAGTAAGAGAGAGAGGGGGAGGAAGCAGAAGGAGGGAAAAATCTTGACAAGAATATATATTAGAGCAATCAATAAAAAGATAATCCTTGGAATTCATGAGTCTTTAAAATAAGATGCATTTTCTTGTAGTAATCCTAAAAACCTATAAAAGAATATTCAAGCAATAAACCCCCCATAACTCATATTTAACCTTTCATCATGTAGAACTACATATTAAATAGCTTAGCAACTGCATGCTGCGTAACTGCATTCAAATAAGAGCAGAAATAGAAAAATGTAAATGCTACACCTCTTAACATGCATTGCACAGCCAAGAACATCTGCCAGCTGACCCCATAATCCAATCGGCTGTTCAGAGGCAATCATATCCTTATCTAAGAGCTGTAGAGCTTCTACATGCCATGCCCATTTTCTTTAAGAGATGGAGCAAAATGTAGTTAACCAACTCTTCAACAACTTTCAAACACTTAGGGGTACGAGACGAAAAGTAATTCAACATATTACATGGACCTGCATTAAAATACTGTCGTCCTTTCCTCAGATACTGTAATTCATTTTTTTAATTTCACAGCACAACAACACAGAGGAAGTTTAAGGCTGAAGTGACTACATCAAATCAAGTGCTTACCAAGTGTATACAGCCCACACAAACTGTTTGTCATTTCTAGTAGAAAATAACAAAACCTGGAATAAAATCTGGAAGAGCTCAACTTAGTCCATCGACTTTAATGAGAAGAAATACACAAAAGCTGAATTAATTGTGCTAACTCTGAGTTTACTTCTCACACCTACTGCAAAAGGAGTGGACTGCTTGAGAGGCTCTACAGGCAGGGGGGGGATGAAGACATCTGAATGAGTGGCTTCAAAATACTCCAGAAGAGCCAAAAAATCTGTGGAATTAAGAGCATAACCCCAATGGAATATCATGCAGTAACAGAATGTGTTATTATCTCTGAATAAAATTAAATTTCTGCTAAAAAATTCTGTCCTAAGTACACAAACAACCTGCACTACACTGACTGAACTTATCCTAGGAGGACAGTTTGTTATGAAACAGGTTATGTGATTCAAATAACTATTTATATGCATCAAATAAATTGGTTTAATCATGCAAATTGCTCCTCTCTCCAAAGCTTTGCTTAAGTATCTGTACTGGCAGGGGGGCACTGGCCATGGTGGGAAATAGTAAGAAAACTGTTGGAATAGTGTTTCAAGTAACACTCTCTGTAGGTAAATTTATGTCAAATACCTGAAAGACATTGAAAAAACAGACATAAAGGCGTCTGCCAAGAAGCCTAGAAAACACCCTTCACAAGAAGAGGGTGAAAAGCTTATTTGGCTTAATGAGAAAAAGACACAAACTGACCGAGGGCTTTAATTATAAGACACTGGAAAATGGATGGTCCTCCAAAGTAACTGATTAAGCAATAACAAGACCCAAGCTCAGAAGCAATAATTTTAAAAGAATAAATAAAAATACTGGAGGAAATAATAAGGGAAATCTACTGGTGCCTAAAGGAGTTTATCCTTGGTGCTAAGTTATCTAACATCTCTATCAATTCCATAAACCACAACGTAACATGGTAGCCAGTGAAAGATAGAGCAAATCTCAGCAGAGAAGTGGTTTAGCTTTCTTATGTCTGATATCAAACAAAAGCAAGTATTTTACTGCAGGTATTTAACCCAGATTATATAAAAATAATTAGGATGCCACATATTTACATACAAAGAATCTACAGAGCTTTGCTCTAGGATTTAAACACTGCCCAGACCAGAGGAAACAGAAGACAATCTGCCTTGCAGTGGATTACTGATATGTGTCCAGTTTAGCTAAATAGTAGTGCAATCAGCTAATTTAGTTTACCATCTAGGTAGGCAACATGTGCATGCTGCAATGTGCCTAAGGACCTCGGTGTATCTACATCAGTGCTGGAAGTCAAAGTCCAGTAGGTACAGAGTAAAACTCCTTCCAAACTGCACAACGGATTAAGAAGCATTTTAGGAGGCAATGAAGAGAAACACGTACATGACATGTGCATATGTGTGCATATCTAAGTGTACATACATATACACACACACTTTCCTTATTAGCACAATTTCTTCTTATCCTAAAAGCTCCAAAATATATGGGATCTGATCCAATCCTATCAATCTAAATTGGAAAAAGATAATCAATTTCTGCGATAAAACAGCTTCCATTTCTATCCTAAAAAAAAAACAAAAACAAACAAACAAACAAACAAAAAAAAACACCAAACAAATCCACAGGCAAAGAAACAAGAAACCACCCCAAAACCCAAAAAGTCACAAATCTCAAGAAACAGACCTTAATACAATTCTAAGGTGCCATTACTAGATCCCACAAGAGAAAGCCCTCTAATGAATTCAGTGAGTTTTTCATCAAGACTGTGTTCCTGGTAAAGAGGCAAAAAACATCAACCACCTTTATAATAATACCAGCCATGGCACTTTGCACTGATAAACCGTACAAAGACATAATTTCCAAGTTTAAAACATTTCTTCCCTTTAATAACTTCTGAAAGGCTTTTGAAATTAGCAAATCTAATGTGTGTGGGAATAGGCAACACTTTATAGCAATAGGTTTACTTTTAATGGAAGTAGTCTGCTGCGTCTATGGGTAACAAACCCCAGTATCTTTTCATTACAAAGGAGCTTATTGTTACCATACAACTTACTGTGGGATTTCATTTTGCCTCTTTGGTGATCTGTCTGATCTATTAAGAAAAGCACTGAGGTATGGACAACATACACTTTATTGCAGTTTTATATTTTTGTAGTCTCTGCTGCTTCTGGTTAGGCTACTGCCTATGAATTTCAACTAGTAATAAGAAAAAAAAGAAAAAAAGTATTTACCAAGTTTCTCACAGAAAAAAAAATAAACTGTGAAGGAAATGAGGCAAGTTCAGAATCAGGTGTTAGAAGCGGTGCTGCATCCCGGGACATGACTGCTGCACCAATGGTTGCACAGAAAAACAACTGGATCCACCAGCTCTACCACCTACAAGCCACTACATGAATAAATCTTTGTATGAATGCTATTAAAGTCCTTCTACGCATACTATGAAAAATATTTTTTACATATATATTCATAACATATATATTAAGTCCCTTCAGCACGACTGTTTCTATTAATTAATTTTCATGGTTGAATCTGAAATAAAGGATAGGCAAAACTAAATAGTACTTCATCAATGTTAATCAGTGTTGAGAATTAATCAGCAAGTATAGAAAATCACTATTAGTTTTGCAGAAATGCATACAGCATGAAGTAGCATTTAAATAGATGCTGATCTTTTTTTAAGAGTAGCAATTTAGAGATTACTTTTCTCTGATGGGATACTTCAATATTGAATATAGAGAGATTAATGTTCAAGGGAACTTGTGTTGAAGAGAAATGTTGCTAAAAATAGCAATATATATTTAATAAATGTTTCTGCAGCAACCATAGTCTCAGAAAGAATTAAAAGTTTTAAAGTACCCATAACATCTGAGCTCTCTGATGCCTACACTCTGTCCAGGTGGGATTATTCATCCAGGGCTTCCTGTGCTCCAGGAGATAAAAATTTCTTCATGTAAGAAATACAGTGTTTCAGGTCAAGGTCTGCTGTTGAATGAGCATCTCCCCCTCAATCCTCAAGAAGTCTGAGGATTGCCTACAAAATCTGATGCAAGTTGTGGTCCCAGAGATAACTCCTATTTTTAATTTCTTCACCAGCACAGTACCTTTTGATCACAATTAAAAATACAGTAAGCACAGAAAGATTGCTGTTGGCTTTTCAACACCGCTCACCTGATTCTTGAGATCCAGCTTTGGGCAGGGACGACCTCCATTGTAAGGCTTCTCCTTAAGCCACCTGTATCGGACTTTCACCCCCGGTCCACAAGAAGAGCTGCAAGGGGACCAACTGGACCAATCGCTTAATTTGCAATCAAACGGGCAAGGGACCGTGCAAGATTCTTCAATGTAACCTAAACCAAAAATTTAAGAAAGGTTTTAATCACTGCAACTAATGAACTCCGATCCTCTGATGTCTCACTGCAATCTGTGCAATCAACACAAAATGAGAACTTCTCGAAGAGGAGACATTTGGCAGGTTGACAATGACTTCCCAATGCGAGATTATGATATTGTTTGGAAAGAACAGCAGTGACTAAAACTAATTATTACTTGGTTCAGTCCAGTGAAGGCTGTGATAAAACTGATTGATGTAAAGGACAGATGTTGGCAGAAGTATCTGTTGTGAGTCTGGTGGTCACCAACAGGCGGTGATTATCTTCCCTGTGAGGTCTTGGCCATAATAAATTCTGGAGAACTAAGTGTACAGCACAATTTTGTACGCCTTTAGTATTACGCTAACCATCTCCAGAGCTGGCACAGGCAGGGAGGCAGAGGCTCTCTTCCCAGCAGACAGAGCCAGAGGATGGTGGAAGCACTACAGCAGCGCTCTTGGCAGCTCCCACCAGGACATGTGAGGGACCTGCCTGCAGTCTGCCCGCTGGAGCAGCGCAGGACTCGTGCTTGGGAGAAGCAGATGAAACGTGCTTCTCATGTCTTTCGGTAGTTCTCTATATACATCCTTCCAACTGGTTTGCCTATTCTGTAGTTAAACCTCAGCCAGCACCACACAGCCACTCACTCCTTCCCGCCCTGCAGCAGGATGGGGGTGAGAATTGGGAAAAAAAAAAAAACAAAACAACTCATGGGTTGAGATAAAGACAGTTTAATAAAACAGAAAAGGAATAAAATAATAATAGTGGTGGTAACAATACTAAAAAATTAGTATATACAAAACAAGTGATGCACAATGCAATTGCTCACCACCCACTGACCAATGCCCAGTCTCTTCCCAAGCAGGTTCCCCCCCAGTCTATACACTGAGCCTGACACCACATGGTCTGGGATATCCCTGTGGCCAGTTGGGGTCAGCTGTCCCAGCTGTGTCTCTTCCCAGCTTCTTGTGCACCCTCAGCCTCCTCGCTGGAAGGGCAGCATGAGAAGCTGAAAATTTCCCGAGTTAATATAAACACTACTTAGCAACAACTAAAGCCAGCAGTGTGTTATCAACATTACTCTCATACTAAATCCAAACCACAGCACCATACCTGGTCCTAGAAAAAAAAGTTAACTCCATCCCAGACAAAACCAAGACACTGGGTTTCCTAAATAGCATTTTAAAGCTTTGCCTTCACCTTAACCTGATTTGACATAAAAGTCCTCCCAAGATCATCACCTCTTAAAATCAGAATACCAGACATCTGCAGGATGCTGAACTAAAATCCAGCAGGTTTTCTCAGAGGAAAAACAAGGTTCCTTCATACAGGCACAACCCCACAGCTGATTTAGGAGTTGGCATATGGAAGAGAGATTTTGCAGAGCCTAGCACTGGCCGTGGAGGGTGGCTGAGCCTTTGGGGCATCTGGGGAATTACTGGCAGCAGTCTTGGGTCGGCAGTGTGGAATAACTCCTGCACCTTGCTGCTTACTGTGCTGCATTTGTTCTCCTTGAGTTTCTATTATCTGCTTGTCATGTCCGTATGTACTATTTTAATTTAAACAAAAAAGAGATTTCATGTTAGACCGTGAAAGTCAGTGGCTGCTAAGATCAGCCTTTATTACAGGCAGCTTCAACCCTCTGACATCTCTGGCAATGACGGTCATGGAAATAACTGAATTTCATCCTATGTGTTTCTGATATTTCTCATTTTTATGCCCTTTCTGTTTGGTTTTCATCGCACTAACACTCCCTCTATATTCCTTACCTACAGAATACCAAATTAGCTCATTCAATTACTCTTTTATGAAGGGTTTCCCCACTCTATCAAGGTGACAGTCACTGCAGCAGGGAGTAGAAAAAAAACAATACAAAACAGCCAAACAACAAAACCCTGATAAAACCAACCCAGAAGCAGCTACCCTCCAAAATCCCCAGAAAACAGCCACAAACAATGAGAACTTAACTCTGTGAGAAACACTGAGGCAGAGGCACCAAGATTACTCTGGCCCAGAGCTGGATTTACCAGCTCTGCCTTGCCTGAACCTGCTGCTGGCTCTGAAGCAGGACTGCGTTACATACTGAGCATCGACCCACAGCAGCAACACGCTGCCTCCCTCCTGCTCTTCATGCTGAAGTCAGTATCAAGAAAGGTTTCAGGCTTATTTAGGCATCCCCCTCCTCCTAGACGTACAAGAAATAGTGATGTTTTTGTAAACAGTGCCTTAAGAAATACTAGAAACAACAGTAGTTCCCTCCTTCAGCTCAATGATGCTCTATTTCTTCTCTCTTTGCCTTCATGATGGTGCAGTTCCCTCTTCCTTTACAGCAGTCACCCCAAGGCTTGGCAGCTGCAATCATTTCCCCAGTAACTCACACTGTAACTCTTCCCCAAAGCTGCAGACCTGTCCCCAAACAGTGTGCTCTGTTTTTCTTTGCTACCTTTATCTCCATGTGCTGTGTCACCTTTCCATTTGCAGCTCCAAAGCCACTGGAATTGTGTATCTTAATTATTTCCAATCTAATCCATTGCATGTTTGAGATATTTCAACTTCGCATGCTTTGTATTCTCATCTAGGTGAGATTACACCCATGCACACATATATACAAATATTTCCAAAACAGACTCACTTTTTTCCCCCGAATGAAACTCCCAGATACCCCACTAATATTCTATTCCACCTGCTTAGGTTGCCACTCAAAGCAATTCATAATACATTATGATAAGTAAAAGAAATTTTCTCATGATAGGTTTATGAGAAGCATTTCTTAGGCAGTTCTCCAAAGAGTTCTGTTCCACCACTGTATGAAATATCATTTTTCCTTGGGCTGTGTGACAGCCTAGGTAATTAACTCTCAACAGAAACAAAGGAAGTGCCTTGTTTCAAAGGAGGATTAGACAGAGGGGTTATCAACTTATCAGTGAAGGCAAAATGGGCTAAGCCTTTTGGCAGTTCAAGACCTACCTCTATAATGAAATATAAGACAAAAACTGAAATATAATAAGAAAAGAAATATAAGGAAGAGGAAGGAAAAGTTATAATAAACAAAAATAAAGCAACCTATTGTATTCCATCCCCACAAAGTGCAGTGGAGATCCCTCAGTGAACCACGGAATTTCTAAAGATGTCCTGTTGCTGAGGCCAGCTCAGTACTTTTTGAGTTTCCTCACCCATATTTCTAAATTTCATTAAGTATAAACAAATAATGGCCATCTAATAGAGCATTAAATTACCATACTGCCCAGAGGAAAACAATTCTCCATACAGAACAATGCTCCAGAATCAAAATGGGAACATAACTTTCTTTCAAGCTCTTCTCACAGGCTGCCATTATTTCTTCTATCAATCACTTGATGAGATACCCACGGATCAAAGATTTCATTCAACAAAAATTTTTCTCCAAAAATTTTTATGTGATGTATCCTCTCTGCTCAGACAGAGAATGTCTTTATGGCTATCTTTTTATGAGAAACTAGTAAATAATGTTGTACTCAGCTCATCCATTGCCTATGAGAACCAGATATTTGTTTTCCTCTGGAGGACCCAAGCAATGGCTTGCCATTGACAGGGGCATGAAAAGACTTCAGTATGAATACCCACAATAATCCTAGTATTGGCATTCCTAGAAAACTTGTCGCATTGGCATGGTGCATAATACAAAGAAAACCCCAAAACAAACAAACCAACAAAACCCAAAAAAACCCAAGGGAGATATGCTATTAAAACAACCTACTAATAAAGAATTCTGCATTCAGACTATTATCCAGAGGATTACTTACCATAACAGAATACAAATAAAGGAAACAGAATAAACATTTCTGAGCTATGGTTGTTCATCTTAGGACAACTAACTCAAGGTTGAGTTTACACAGCTGGCTTTGTCAGTGTCATCCTTAAATATCTCACTCATCCATCACATTCCCCATTCTTCTCTCCTCTGCAGAAGATGATACCAAAGATTCGTTAAGTTTCCAAGACCTTCTATGTAAAAAGATGCTCTCTTCTCCCCAGCCCTACTCAGCCTGTTTTCCGTGTGTTCTTATATTATTTCTTGAAGCTTCCTTTAACTTCTTTTTTTTTAATTATTATTCCTCAAAATCTCAAATCCCATTAAAATAAAGCTCATTTAATTTAGAAACAAGAGATGAGAGCTTCTGTCCTATCTGAGCCAACAGCAGGCTCCTGAACGCCACAGAGCTGGAGTGCTCACAGAGATGTCGCAGGAGGTAGCAAAAGAAACACCAGTGCATGGGATATTTACGTAGGCGCTTTGAAACATACTACTGGGAATAGTCCTGAATTGGCAGGAAAAATTGAGCTGGATGATCAAATAAGCTTTTTCTATGTTTAAGCACTATTGTTTTACTACTGAGACACTGCCAACATAATGGGATGAACAAGTGCATTTACCTAGGCTGCACAGCTCATTTTACTATTATTTATTCATTAAGAACAATGTGCTTGTTGCTCTACAAGCCACAAATGGAGTCTCTTCCCTAAAGTGTCTATAATAAACAAAGCACCCACAGATTACACAGGATGTACTGGGAAGGCTCAAATACACAACACAGCAACCATTACTTGTCTCATTTCTGCTGTGCAGCCCAAGAGATAAAGCAATAGCAGGTAGATGAATAAGTAAGGATGATGGTCTGGCAGGTGTTGGAGGTTAAGGCTCAAATACATTGTGTAAAAACTGTTATTGTCTCATTTTTGCTGTGCAACCCAAAAGAACCAAGGCAATAGAAGGCAGCTGCATGATGGGCTGGTGGGTGTCAGTGGCACAGAAGCATGAAGAGGCTGTGGATTGCACTACAGCACCTTGGGGGAGTTCTGCAGTAGCACAATTTCTTTCCCACTTACACAAGACACTGCATATATCACACCAGGCACAGCCAGTGAGGGGCTGCAGTGTCCTCCCGTGTCCCCCTCTGTATTTGCAAATGAATTGTGGTGGGAGAAGCAGGTGACCAGCA